TTTGAAATGCTTTCCAACATGAGTATCCAATAATAGCATATAATTAATACATATTAAATACAAACGAATTTTAAACTATATGCTATTGTAAAGAAAATTTACTCTAATACTTATTGGCAATTCCGTTCGCAAAATAAATTGCTTGGTTTTATTTCAGATTCATTTAGGAATATATGTTTAGTTATAGAATACTCAATGCTCTACACCATAGTCCCAAGCTTTCAGGATTGAGCTGAGCGAGGCTCAAAGAGCCGACGCGTTACTTATTTTATTGCCGTACTGTATACAAACCCTACGATACAACTTGTTTATATTCTATTTTTGTGTACGAATATTTGATTACTCTCCATATATAACTAGACCTTTCTTTTCCATTGGATGACAAGGATCATAGAAAATAAATTCTTTCATTTGTTTTTCTGTCAAGATCTTCATACAAAATTGTAGTGCGATCAACGATTAAACGTTTCTTTTTTTCTTATCAAGATAAAATATTTCTTGCTGTTAGAAAAATATCAATGATTTTCAATTAATATTAACCTTTTCAAAAAAAAAATGGTTTCATTAACAGGTCTTCTATTTGCAATATTCAGACAGAAAAAAAACCGTTTATAATTTTTTTTTTCTAAATGAAACACAAAATAAATGAAAGTATTATGCATAACAAAGTCCTCTAATAATGGATATTAAGAGAAGGAGAAAGAGAAAGAATAATATCAAAAGAAAAAGTAAATAACCAAATCAAAATATACAATTTAATATAATAGAAGAAAAAGAAAAAATGCAAGTTAATCATCATCATCATCATCACTCGCTACTACAGCTGCTTTTTTACGTGCAGTTACGCGTCCGCACCACGTTTTGATCGACTTATTGTTTGCACTTTTGGTTCTTTTCTCATTGGTCGTTTAAATTCATTTTCATCATCATCATCGTCGCCATCATTTTCTTTTAAATCATCATCAGCTAAAAATCAAAATGAATTATCATGATATTTGTTTTTTTTATTTCTTTAAAAATTAAATCCTACATTGTTTTGCTTTTGCTTTACTACGACTTTTTGTTTGTTTACCTTTCTTCGCTCCACTAGCACGAGCAACTATTGAAAAATAAAATAAAATAAATTTTGTTATGAATAAAAAGAATTTTACGAGGAAAGTACTCTGACTGATAAATTGCTTTTAAGCTAAGATTATATAGAACCAAATGAGCTATGTATATCTTGAAAAAAGTTTGTGCCTGTAGCTTATTGCTGCGGAGCTACTACACTTCCTAAATCAATCTCATAGTCCCTCTCAGAAAAACTCGTTTTTAAATTTCGACTTGAAATTTCGCATAGAGACAGGCTTAAAAAAGAGAAGTTTATTGTGAAAGTTTCAGGCCTTTTGATTGACTTCTATACTAAAATAAGAACATTAAATCTGCCCATTTATACAAGTGACGTAAAAGACATACTATTATCATAGTTCTAGCTTAGAATAGGAACAGTGGCAAGATCTGAAACTTTCACAATAATCTATTCTAGTTAAGATCTGTTTCTATACAAAATTACAAATCGAAATTCGACAATGAATTTTTTTTCTTGAGGATCACGGCATTCATTTAAAAAGTGCAGAATCTTCACAGAAATAAGCTAAGGGCACGAGCTCCTTTCAGAGTATTCATAGCTCATTTAAATCCACATAATGCACATAGTCTCAACTAGAGATGTGCGAGACCAATTGTAGCTCCAATTTCGGTCACTGAGATCATAAGAAAAAGAGGTGTGGATGTGGGTATGGGCCTAGACCTGGACTACCAGAATGAGAAGTTGCTGAGACCGGACGGGACTGAGACTACGAGAAAAAAGTTGTTCCAACTGGAACTAAAGATTATAGTTAAATATTCTCTATTCAAAAGAGATGACTGAAAAAGTGCCAGTCATCGACTAAATCAAAAAATAAGGACTAAAGAAATTTTTTTTGATGTGATATGAATAAACTCTGGAATAGTTTTTTCTAGACTGTGATCGGAACGGATACCAAAAAGGTCTGCCCCGCAAATTGAAGGACTTCCATCGTTAGTTCTTTTTTAGTTTTGATTTTTTTTACCTTTTGATTGTTGTTTTGTTTTTTGTTGTGCTTGTTGTACAGCAATTAAAATTCCATTTGATGATCTTGCATGTTCAATACGAGTCGATAATTCATCAAATACAACCTTTTATAAAGAAATCGGATCATTTTCAATCAATGAAAAATAAAAAACAAAAGGAAAAAATTCTTTTTATTTTTACTTTTAAATCAGGTTTAGTTCCTAAATTCTGTTTTGCATTATTAAGAATCGTTAAAAATGATTCATAAACAGCATCTTCAACTAATTTATCTGCATAATAATTATAATGATCATGTAAACATTTTAATGTTCGTTCATTAAATTTTAATTTTGACATGATATAAGCAAGATCACACCATAAATGAGGATTATCACTTAAAGAAACAAAATTATTAAAAAATAAAATAAAATGAAAATAAATAATTTACTTACCCATATGAAATCTTTGCAATAATTTTTTAAATAAACTTTCTCTTTGTTTTTTTTACTAACATATTGAAATAAAAATTTGATAATAGATTTAAAATCTTCTTCATTTAATTGGCGTTGCTCATCTAATTTACCGGCAACTAAATTTGAAAATATATCTGGTAAAATATTAAATAATGCTTGGCCATGTTGACGTTTAGCTAATTCACTAAAAAATGATGTCGCTAATGTTGCTATTTGAGGATGTTTATCAATAATACATAATGCTATTTCACTTATTTGATCTTTTAACTAAATAAACAAATAAATACAAGAGTTTCTTCTCTGTTGAATAATAATCTGACCTTCATCATTTCTTTAAGAATTAAATCTGATATTGTTTTTAATGCTACTAAACGAACATTATATAATGGATTATGTAAACAATTATAAACACCATTTGAATAAGCATCAAATGATGATGGATATCTTTAAAAGAAAATCTATTTATTTGATTTTTGTTTAATAAAAAATGTTTTACTTTAAATAAAAATCATTCATTAAAACCAAAATACCAACTTGAACACTTTCAAATGTCGAATATTTTAATAAATCAAATAAAATTTTTGCATGTTTTTCACATAATTTAACAGATAATAACATAAATTTACAGAAACATATTGTTGCACTTAATTGTAATGTTTCTTCATAATATTCATTTTGATGAAGAAGAATCTTGAGAAGAAAAAAAAGAAAAATTTTGAATTTTATATAAAGGAAAAGAAAAATTTGAATAAGATCAGTGTTGATTGATTTCCATTAGCCTATCATACTAACCCTCAATCTCACCCTTATCCTCAACTTTTTATCTCGTCTTCGGTGGTTCCATCTGGCCTTGTTTCTCTCTTGTTGCTTTTTTCTAATGTGTTTAAAAATGACTTATTTTATTTTGACATTAGGGAAAGTTTTTCATTTTAGTAGCAGATTCTGCACCTCCTTTTTTTAATCTTTTAAGCAATTCTCACAAAATTTTCAAGTTCAATACATTTTGAGCAGCATTTTCAAAAGGTCAACTTCTCAGAATTCTATTACATGTGACCTACAAATAAATCGCCTATATAAAATGTATATCACCCATTCAAAAGATACCAGTATATTTGAGAAAATAGGTTCTTTCTAAAAACGTTTTGGAAATTGGATGTCCAAGAGGACGAAAATAAGATAAAACTGGATACGGGGGAGAAAGTCAACAAAAAAAGGTTTTTATCCGGATATTCATTATAGGATAGTCCCTACTCATAGTAATAAACAGTTCTAGTTAGCATAAAACTCTTTGCCACTTACTGACGTCAAACTGTGATAGGGTTCCTGCGGCTCCCTAAATAGCACGTATATGATACATTTATAGACTCATCGGCCATGAAACATTAATATATTTCTAGCTATGGATCGATTAGAATCTTGATGAACTCTGGTTTGTCTGAGCAAGTTAATATTTATTAAGAAGTTCAATTTGAACTAAAAAAACAAGAATATATTTACTTGTTCAACAATATTTTTATATTGCATTAATTTAGCTTCTTTTCGACGAAGAAGTTTATCTTTTACGGTACAATCAACATAATAAGCAATTCCAACAGCAGCTTTTCCTAAACAATTTAAAAAACGAACTAATAGTAAAGCTGAATTTGCATTCATTTGAGAATGATGATGATGATGTTGTTGTTGGTGTTGAGATAATTGATTTTGATTATTTTCATTACCAGCATCTAAAGAAATCAATTAAATTGAAAATGAAAAAGAAATATATATATATATGAAATTTTTACTTTCAAAATCCATTGATTCAATAGATAATGGTTGGGATTGAGATGATAATGGAATTTTAAATAGACTACCAAGTAGGGGTGTCAGCGTTCCCCGTTCCTCAGCATTCCGTTCCTAGGAATGGGAACGCTTGTCAAAATCGCATTTCACGCTATATTTCAACATGGCGAGGTCTCTAGACATATTCACTTTTCTTTTTATGTTTGAGTGTTCAGCGTTCCCCGTTTCCAGGAACGGGAACGGAGTAGCGTTCCCCGTTCCTAAGAACGGGAACGGGGTAGCGTTCCCCGTTCCTAAGAACGGGAACGGGGTAGCGTTCCCCGTTCCTAGGAACCGGAACGAGGTAGCGTTCCCCGGTCCTAGGAACGGAACGCAAAGTTGACACCCCTAACGAAGATTAACGAAAAAATCAATTGCTTGTATAAAATCAGCTGATGTTCGAGAATTAAATAAATTAGCAACACGCCCATTTGCTTGTTCAATTAAATCCATAAATTGAAGTCCATCCTAAGATAATCAATTTATATAAAAGAAGTTTTTTATTTAAATTTACTCTATAAAAAGTAACAATATCTTCGACACGCATTATTTGTTCTTCAATTTTAATGCAGTTTACAGTTTCTTGAAGAGATTGATCTTCATTTGGTTCTTTATTCTCTTCTATTTCTTTTTCCTATTTAAGAAAAAAAAAAGTAATTTTATTAAAAAATTTTTTCATTTAAATATTTACTTGATTATTATCGACATTCATTTCATCATCTTCATCAATAGTTTTATCTTCTGCTCCACTATCTTCATCATCCGATTGAGACTTTTTTTCTTCCATTTTTTTATCTTCTTTTATATTTTTATTTAATTTTTCAAGTTCTTGACGAAGTTCAACTAATTTTGTTTTAGCATCATTTTGTCCTTTTTCAATTTGAGCTCGAGTTGAATCCTAAAACAAGAAAATATCTCATTAATAAAAATCTTCACTCAATAAACTTACAATAACAAAATAAGGATTATTAAGAACCATATGCATAACAAGTGTTACTGCATCTTTTCGAACTCTACAAGCTTTATCTCTTAATCGATCAAGTCCGAGTTCAAATACTCGAAGATATTCTTTAACAGGAACTTTTTTTTGTATTACAAGTGATGTCCATAATTGTAAACAATGTTGACGAACAAATGCTGGTTTATCACGTACATGATCCTAATTTAATGTTTGAAGCAAAAAAACAAAAAAATTATTTATTGAAATAAAAATTAAATGAACTTACACGTAATTTTTCTAAAAGATCATCACGCATTTTTTTTTGTCCATCATCTAATTCATCAGATGAACGAAGTTTTTCAATAACAGAACATAATGCTGTTAAAGCAGCAACACGAATATGATGACTCTAAAATAATGAAATTGTTTATATTGATTCTTAATATATATTATACGGGCAACATCTGCAAATACAGGACATGATCATCTTCAATTCTTTTTAGAGTTCATTTTTTTGAACAAGTTCTCTTCCCATGAATATAGGTAAAAATATAAGCTCATACCTAATTAAAATTAATTAACTAATTAATTGCAATGTAATTAGTGAATAATACTCTAACGTTATAACGAAGAATCTAAGAATTTTAGAATCCAAATCGATAATTCAGACGTTCAGATACGTGAATTTCTGGTCGGAAAACTCGGAGAATGTTACAAACTTGGAAGCAGAAATCTAATGATCGAAGTTTTCTAGTTCTGGTTGTAACTGGTCACCGAATTCCTACCATTATTTCCTGAGTTTTACCATTAGAAGCAGTCCGTATTTCTTGACTCAGGAATAGACTCCACACCATAACCTATATTAATCCCTGAACAAGAGTTTTTACTGTTTAGAATTCGTTAGTGAAGTTCTTATTCCATTATAAGAAGTTTTTTTATTTCTATATTCGTATTAACTCATGTCAACCAACAATGAATAAACTCAACTTTTTGAAAAACTTTCCATCTAAATTTTGTAGCGTGAAAAAGGTTCTACAAAATACACGATTTAGTTTTCAAACATATTCTTCGAGATTGTAGTATTTGTAAATGGCAACGCACGCAGTGAAAACTATTGTCCTTTTTATGCCATTCTACTAATTAATAACTCGATGAAGTAAAACTCTATGGGGCTGACTTTTTGCAAGTATCTAAACTCAACATATATCTGTTACATAGAAATTAGCAGAAAGAAATTTCAGAACTCATACATAAATGGGCTTTTTATTTTGCGACAATACGTCACTACTGAATGATATTACATTTTTATTCATAAAAAAAACGTAAGTGTAAAACAATTGGCTGAATCTAGTTTTGAGAATAATTCATACGAAGTTTTCTCGAAGATTTCATATAGATTGAACTACGCTTGCCATCAATCTTTACATTAATTTCTATCGAAGGTAAAAGCAGACGACTTGAATAGTAACAGTGTAGTAGTTCGATCTTTTCCATCTGACGAACTGTTGAACAGTTTTTTTTCAAGGCTACTTGGAAATCATCCCTGTAACTCTTCGAATTCTACTGTATACTTAAAAACGTTGCATGTAGTATTCTAACAACGGCACAGCTGCACAATCTATGACTTTTAAAAGTTTTATAATGTCTTTTGGAGTGTTTCAACATTTTATGACTCTTCTACTACTCTTGAAACTTACCAGTCAGAATGTCCAAGTAATTCTTGAAAAGTACCATTGTAAGATAGCTTCGAATAAGTTGAAACTACTACTCTTAGATAGTCTACTAAACAAAAAGGGACAACTATTAGCCGCAAATCGCTTTCGACATACGTTCTTTCGATAAAATTGATCTACGAGAACTATATATTGTTGAGGCTACATTGTTCTGAAGGACGATATTCTACATTTTTTTCAAATTATTAAGGACTCTCGAAGGATAAAAGTAATTCTTAAGTCAAAGCACATAGTATCTATCTAAGATCCTAAACTATTATTTAAAAGGTTCACTTGAACTATTTAGAACGATGAATATCTATCTTGAATTAATTCGATATACGATAGTAATTATTATATTGTTTTGAAAATTACTTCAGCTGTTAAAAGATCAGTTATTTGATCAATATGTGTTCGAATAATATCTGGATCAAGTCTAGCCATATCAATAATAAATGTAGCCACGGTTTTAGCAGATGCATTATCAGCTTGTGCAGCAACAAAATTAGTTTCACGAATTTCTCTAAATAAATTGAAAACTGTTATTTCAAAAAAACAAGACAAATAAATAAACAAACTTTAAAAATTCAATAGCTAATGATGTATCTTGATAATTAGTTAAAAGTAAATTAAGAACATCAATCAATAAACTTGAATTACTATTATAAAGTTTAACTGCTTGAATAAATTGAATAGAAGCTTCTGAAACATAACAAAATAAAATAATATTATTCAATTATTTTTCTTATTTTAAAATATACCTCGTGCATGTTCAAATTTATTAATCATAATCGTAAGTATTAATGGAAGATTTTCTTTTACAATTGGATTCTTTGCAATATCTGTTCGACGTATTAAATGATAACATGGTTTAGTAACACATCTTTCAAAGAATAATTTCAATAAGTAAAAAAAAAGAAAATATACGATTTGTTTTTTTATTACTTAACGAATTGTTCATCAATGATTGAAGGACCCCATAATGGTTTAATATGTGATCGAATAATATCACAAAGACCTTTTGAAACATTTATCTCTCAATGAATCAGATGTTAAACTTGATTTTCCATTAGTTTTCGATGCTTTAGCTTTTTTGCATTTCTATTATAAATAAATAAAATTATTTTCATAAAATAAATTCATTAATAAATTATACTTTCGATAGAGGCATATCAACATCTGGTGATTTATTTGTTTGGTCATTATCAAATCGAATAATATATTCAGCAATAAGACATGAAAGCATTTTAATAATATTTAAATGAAAATGTCGACCATCAATTGAAAGACCACGATGAATTTGTCTTTGAACGTCAATCAATTCAAGTGATATTACTATTTTAATAACAATTCTTATTAAAAACATATATTTAAAAGAATTCTTACATTGAAGTAAGATTTCAACTGCTTGAGAACGTCCAGTAATCGATACTTTATCAAAATGACTATAAAAATAAAATAATCTTATTGAAAAATAAGAAAGGGAAAATTTTTACATGGCAATACTGTAGAATAATGGAAATATATTAAGTAATTCTCTTGGTTCTTGAACTTGTGAAACATCTACATTAAAAAAAAACCAGAATTCTATTTAAATGAAATTTAATATTACTTTGTAAACGTGTATTAATATCAGCAAGATCAAGAATATTTTGTACATAATAAGAACCAGTAGTAAGTTCTTTATGTAGATCTTCAAATTGATTTGGTAGATCGAATGCCATCGAACGATTTATCGAAGACATTCGTCTTTATTTATTTTTCTTCTAGAATTAAAAATCAAATGATCTTAATAATAAACAAGTGTGCAAATCAATTGCTGATTTTAACGAATATCTTATTGGTTATTTAGTCTTTGTTCCCTAAAGAAAAAGACCTCGTCTTCACTAGAGAAATAATACAGTATTATCTTGGTATTAAATCAATCAATGTGCGTCTTCACTTATAAGTTAATGCACCAATCAGAATCGAGGACGCGCCTCAACCATGTATATATGACGTATAAAAAACAACACATTACTACAAAACGAGATGTCGCTCTGTTTAGCTTAAAAATAAAGGAGTTGCTGTAGGGATAAATAGAATAATGAATTCTTTTCTCTTATTAAAAATGTATGGGTGTTTTATTTACTGTACTGCTGGATATTTCAACAACAAAAATGTTAAACCTGATAATAGTAGCTGTGAACAGAATGCTGACAAACAACCATTATTGACTTTGTCGGGTCATTCTATGCTTGATGGGATAGAGACTCGAACTATTGAGGTATGGGTGAGCAAAAAACACAAAGGTGTGCTTAAGTAGACGAATAAAAAAAAAGCAACTTTTCAAATTTTTGGCCCTTTTCGGTCAGATGTTCCCATTTGACAAAATCCTTAGTTTTCGTTACCCGAATATATTGAATAATTCACTGTAGTGATGCAATGCACAGCAAGTCTACTAAAGAAGATTAACCACTAGTTACCTTTGACATTTAATGTTTAGGCATTTAGAAAAATAATTTTTACAATTCAGATATACTTAAGGGGTATTGTGATTATATCCATCCATTTTCTTAATGAGAAGATATTTTGTCTCATGAATCAAGAACATGTATTGAAATGTTCTGTACTAATTATCGAATTGTTAAAACATTTTATATCGCTACTAAAAGTTAATCCTTCACGAAATATTGACTTAATATTGCCAAATAACAACATTCGACTGAAAAAGTTAATTAGTTAGAATTTAAAGGACAAATTAAAGAAAGATCATTAATAACCAAATCCAAATCTAATCATTCTAATATGCGCTGAGACATTTCCAATGAGGATGTACTCTTTGCCTATCCTCACTCATAACTACGTCCGCGAGTGTGGGTGTTAGTCAAGCTAACAGTAACATCCACACCTGGACGTTCTTTTATTTATTGAGTCTTTGATTAGTTGGTATTATAGAATTAATCATTAATTTAATAAAAAAACAAACAAGCTTTTTGTACGCATTTATTAACGGATGACTCATAATAAATGGCAGAACGTTGTGTTTCATATTATGACTTCTAGATGCCTTTCATTAAACAAACAAAATATACCACAAGATGCAGCGTAAAAAGCTCTACAATTTACATAAGATCGCTTGTCTTACAGTTGCATTTTTTGTTTTCAAAATAGACAAAATTTGGAACAATCAAATTTCAACTGTGCGAAATTCAATCACAAACAATTTTTCTTTTTTTTTGAAAATAATTACAATCAGCTCTAGTGTGTAAATTGTAGAGCTTTTCACGCTACATCTTGCGGTATATTTTGTTTTTTTAATACAACCTATTTATTGGTTAAAATATCCTTCATAAAGATTGTATAATCTTTTACCTATGCAAAAAATACGAGTCCGAGTTTTTTTCAAATATTCGAGTCATTTGTATGGTCATGAAGATTCTAGAATGCTTCAGAACCTTCTAAATCTATCTATCATTACTAAGGTCCGTATTGGAACAGTTCAAAAAAAACTTTGATTTAAAAGTACACTCAGCTATGTTTTTTTTCCGAAAATATACATAAATTCCACAAAATGATATCACTTGACGCCAAAATTAGGAAAACTCCTATTTTTTTCCTTATATTCGATCTCAAAAGTTATTAAAAACAATGCTTTCCATAAATTTCAACTTCTCGAGATTTTATAATTTATTCTTTATCAAATCTTCTAATAAACATTCATTTAATATGAATGATTATTTTCGATTTGCTGCAATTATAAATCATAAATATATCTATTGAAAGTTCAATCTCTGATTTATTTATTAAATGAATTACAAAGCTATCATTATCATATATAACAAGAAAATAAATAAATAGAACAAGTCTTAAAAAACTAAATTTTTACCACCATAAATATAAATCCTCATTAATAAATTCAATAGAGTAATTATCAAGTAAATTCTCTAATTTAATTAAATCTTTTGTTTCTTTTAAACATACTTCTCGAATATTTGAAATACATAAATAAAATAAGTGTTGTGCTTGATCATGAGTTTTTGATAATAAATATTGAATTATTGATGATATTTCTGTACTATCTATTCCAATTTTAAGATATTTTAATTTCGAAAATACACAAACAATGAATCGAATTTGATTCAATGAACATTTACCAGTAAGAACTAAATTTTCAATTTTATTTTTCTTTAATATATCTTGTAAAAGTATATTGTATTTAGTGAAATATGAATCAATCTCTTGCAAAGAATATGCACAAAATCGTAATGTGTGTAAATTAGGTGTTAAACATAATAATTTAATAATTTCTTCGAATGGAAAACGACGAAGGTTAATAACTAATTTTGTAAGTTGTTTTAAAGGAATCATACACTTAAGATTTGTTATAAATGAATCATCATCTAGCATTTCAACATTATATCCTATAGTTAATTGATTAACATTTGAAAAATAATTTCGGCAATTTGGTTTTATTTTACCCGCAATATAAAGATGTTTGACTGACTTGAAATTTTCTCTTTGATGATGTAAACCAAGTTTTTCATCTATCTCCGTATAATACATATAATCTTTTCTTCTAAATAAATGAAATAAAGAATAATCTATAATGATAAACGAGTAATTGTTTTCAATAGAAAGCTATCGGAAGAAAATATTTTCTTTCAGTAGTTTTTTTCTATTGAAGAAAAACGAAAATCGACATAACTATCCTATTTCTTTTGTATAAGAGATTAATTTCTATTTACCTATATGGAACAATCGAATAAAAAGTTTCAAAATTAACTTGGTGTTTCGGTTCATTACAATATGTAAAAAACCATTTCTTTTCATTCCAAAATGAAGAATTAAATTGATTAATTATATCATGATATCTTAAATCTATTTTGTCTGGAAAATCGTGATGATTAATATCAAATATACGTAAATATGACATATGAAATAAGATTAATTGTTGCCATCGTTTACCATCTAAATATGTTCCATCCCACACTATTGTAAGACGTAAAATTTGAATATGATAAAAAAATTCTTTGATAATTTTCTCAAATTCATCAAAATGTACATAATAAAGTTTAAGAGAAACATGTTTTAAATATTTTAATTGAATAGAAGATAATTTGTTTCTTTCTTGATAACCATCATGTTTATAAAGATAATTAATTGATAAATGTTGAAGTTTAGGAAGACAACATAATAAATTATGAAATGCGCTAAATGAAAAACGACCATTTATTATTAAATATTCTATTGGACTAGAATCATAATTAGTAAAATCAATAAATAATAATTGTTGATATTCAATTTTACAATATTTTAATGTCGATAAACGAAATATTTGAGAAAAAATAATATCTAATGATGAAATATGTTCAAGAAAAGAAATAGTTATTGCATGAAGAGTAGTTAAACATATTAAATAATCGAAGAATTTGTTAAAATTTTTATCTTGTACATTATCAAGAATTATTGTTTCAAGACGAATAAAATTTAAAATCAAATGTGGTTCTGCGAAAATAATCTCGGCAACACATGGATTTGATAAACGAAGAAAATTAATTTGACTTTGATTTGGTATAAGTATATTATGATAATAATCTTCGAAATTTGATTTTGATATTGTTGAAATATTGATTTTAGTTAAAATATTCGAATTAATAGCTAAATTTTGAAATCGATTATTAAGATTGTAAAATCCTTTGTAAATATCATATACATCAAGATATTCAAATATTTCATAGAGAATTTCATTAGCTAAGTCTTCAAGATAATATCTAAATAAAAGTAAAAGATTATAACCTACTGCGCGAAAGTCTTGGCACAAAATGTTTGTTTAATTTTCTACTCTTTAACCTTCACTAAAGAAAATGGAAAGTAGTTAGTTAGAATCAGAATTTCATGCTTTGTATAAATATATGCTCAGAATTATTTTCTGACTTAAGAGTGACTAAGTAAGAGCAAATAATTGGATGACCGACAGAAAGACGTCTGTACAAAAGATAAAGTTATGATGTCTTGACATAAACTTTTGCTCATTTTTTTAGACAATAAGATGTCATCGAAAAGTATCAAGAGTAATCAATCTGAGTCAGAATTTTACGCTCTTTCTAAATATATTGTCAGAA